ATGGCGCACACAGTTTGACGCAGCAAGGGCGGCCACCTTGGTTGTACCGTGACTCCCACCGATCCCTCACGAGGTGAATGACGTAGAGTTGGTATGGGAAAGCATTCGGGATGGTATCCTCCACCTTACTGACACGTTTGCCCCAACAACTCGCAGTAGAACAAGAACACTGGGGCCACCATGGTTTAATCCTAAACTGCGACGATTACTCCAGCTCCGAAATCGCGCTTGGCAAGCTTTTCGGGCCACTGGTGCAGGTTACTACCTCTATCGGAGAATTTAGAACTAGTACATGGATTTGAAACGATCCAATCGGAGGACCTTCGAGGAGAAGCTGGCAGCTGTCTCAGTGGAGGCTCCTAAACGCATCTTCGCCTACCTAAAGCGGCGCACGAGAGCTAGAGCTGGTATCCCAGCGTTGATCGATAAAGTTGACACGGTTGACACCGACGAAGGCAAAGCGGAAGTACTGGTCGCACAGTACCGCTTAGTGTACACGATAGATGCTGGCTCCTCATCAACACCAGCCAGAACCACTTCGATTTTCACCTTCGAAGAGGTTTCGGAAGGGGAGGTAACAAAAGTGCTACAGTCGATCAAGATGAGCCAGTCTCCAGGCCCGGATGATGTTCATCCCCTCATGCCCAAGGAAATGGCTATCCTGTCAATGCGGAAGACTGCCCCAAGAGTGAAAGAAAGCGGTTGTGATTCCGATTTACAAGGGCGGAACTAAAGCTGCACCAGGCGAGTACCACCGCGTGGGCCTCACATCGGTTGTCGGTAAGACCATGGAACGGTTGGTGGTTTCACGACTTACGGATTACTTTGAGCAACATCAGTGGATGTGTGGGGAACAACACGGATTCAGCCAGAGGCCTTCGTGCATGACCGATTTGCTGCTTGCTCGAGAACGTTGGTCTAGAGGCAAGGACGAGAGATAGGATACGGACGTTATTTCGTTGACTTCAGGAAGGCGTTCGACAAAGTATCTCACGACAAGTTGTTCACTATTATCAAGGTTCTGTGTGTCATAGGGTTTGCACTTCGCCGGATGGAGGATTTTCTGATCGGGAGATCCTTCTCAGTGAGAGTTTCACAGGCGCAATCTGCCTGGTACACAATCACCAGTAATGTCCCACAAGGCTCCGTTCTACACCAGAAGCATCATCCGGGGAGACTTTTGCCCAGAATTGCAGTTGAGATTCCCCCTGAGGAACAACAACCGCATCAGGAGACACGCGATGACACTTCGTAAGATGCAGTCAAACGGTCTGCCGCTGATCTACCGTCTGTTGGGGAGGGTGACAAATCTCTGGAATGCACTTCCGGAGGATGTGGTGGAAGCGCTAAACGACAGCATCTTCAAGCTAAAACTTAGGTCAGGTCAGGTCGGGTACACAGGACTTATGGCTAATGTCAACGCGTCCAGTTCTTTGCACTTGTGAGCTCTGATGTGATTCCACTGTTCTTCGACTGCAGAAGAAGTTCTTGATCCTTCCCTTTAATTAACAATTGAAGATCCACGTCTTCCTCTCCTCTTCAATCACGTTCCCCCAACCTCTCTAGGAGCTCTATCCTTATCCTTTAAGTATCTCCTACGTCTACCTCTACATCTTAACATCAACTTCTTAGTCCCAATGGATGGTCTGTTAGTCCCATGAGTCTGCAAGCTGCAACACCCTTTGTGACAAACCCCCTCTGACTGAAGCCCTGCGAACGAGGTTTCTCCTGGTCGTTGTATACTGTTCGTTTAATTGAAGAAGAGTTTTTCTCTTCCTGTTGTCGTAGCGCCAGGGAATCCGCGAAGCCCATCAGTGCAAGAAGCTGGACAAATTGGCACGCCGCCGCTACGTCCTATGAACCGACCTAACCTGACGTATCAGGTGGATGTGATACTGCACCTAAAGCTTCTGTCTTTCATAAAAAAGCAGAACGAACGTTTGACGAGCAGTTTTGTAGGCCAAGGCAACTAGCTGAAAACACAACGATCTGGACGCATGATTGATCTCGACCACTTTCGTCCTGTACAAACTGAACTGAATTGAACTAAACTTAAATTTGTGAACCACTCAAGGATTTAGACGTTTCCGTATAAATAATTATCTAGGTTATGTTTTATAAATCGCGGTTACTGGAAGGGATAGGACGAAAGTTACCAAAGTGCCAAACACCACATCAACTAGAGTCTTTTGCAGCAACCCGAAGTGTGCCAAGCCTGTCATCCGAAACGGTACTCACTATGACGCATGCAAGTCCTGGTACCACAAGATCTGCAGTAAAGTTGACAGCAGAGAATACGGGATACAAGTTAGGCACGACTTCCTGCAGTGGTACTGCTTGGCCTTTAGGCACCTACTGCCGGAACTAGCGAGAAATAGAACCACGAAGGCGATAGACTTGACTGAAGTTAGTACTTAAACCGAGATGGCCTTGGGTGCTAAGACCGCCAGGGGAGAGACGAACACAAAAAAACCGATCGTTTGATCAGAAACCCTAGAGAAGCTAAGATCAAGCCAGCAGACCGTAACGGTGCGCAAAAGGCTACGGTGCAAACTCCCTCATAGAAGAAAACCGTGCATCACAAAGGCACTGTTACACCCAGGCCCATGAAGACTGGCCCTAGCACCCGATCGGTCATAGTATTTGACCTAAAGGAATCCAACTCATCTTCGCTGGCCGAGCGGGACATCTACGATAGCACAGTTTTTCACCAACATTGTGTCAACTTGTCGCTCCCTGAGCTGAAACTATCAAGCCTCAGTTGACAGGCGAGGAGCCAGGACTGCTTAAACCCAGAGCACCCCAGGCATCTTAAGGTGTCTCTTGGCTCATAGGATGACACAAGTAGACTTCTAACATCGGCTAGGGCTTTAAGTATACCCTCTGAAGTTCGCATTAGACCCGACCTTCGAAAATCCATCCGAAAGAGCTGCAGTACTACGCCACTTTCACGTTTTGCCTATGAGTCCTTTTCTACTCGAAACAATTTTTGTTTTAACAGGTGCATTCACCTGTTCACGCTCAACCGCGGAATTATCACTTGTCTCGGTGAGCCACGCTATCTCGTTCCACGTGTAAACCTTTTGCTGCGGCTCTCGATCTATAAACTGTTGGTCGCGCGCTGTCTTCTTTAGTTATCGTAGATAGTGCAAGCTATCTAAAGTAGTGATCCTGTACATTTTTTACGCACCACAATATGTTTTTTCCGCATTTTGTACCTTTTTACGGTTTATCGTTCCTGTGATAGGTCACTTCTAGTACACTAACATTTGCACTCCATTGTCGGTTTTCTTTACATGCGTTACGTTTAACATATATTCATAATGTTCGAAGAACGTAAACCTGTCGTCGGCGCAATGCTTTTGCCTATTCCAGACCTAGATGTCACTAAGCCGTCGGTATGTGTTACCGTTTTGGAGCAAGCGCTGCGGAACAAAGAGATAGTGTCCGATGACCAAATGTACGGACAATTCATTATCAGGCTGAGCCCCGCGCGAATTGCGGCCTCGGAGAACATTATCCTTATATCGAAAATAGGTATAGGCTCTTGAAGAAGCGGATTCTAACGGAGGCTGGCCCATGCGAAAGAACAGGGCCAACCAAGCCTTGCCGTACGCTGACGCTTGGCAGTAGGAAGCTTCCGATGTTTCTTCGTGAAATGCGTCAATTAGCCATTTCTCATGCACGAGCCACTTTGCAAGAGTTGTAGTTGTAGCGGATACCAAACGCCGTACAAGACATCATCGTTGCCATCCCTAACCCAGATTTAGACCAGTTAGCGGTTGTGGCTGACGCTTTAAAGGAAAGAATACAGTCGCACGCCGTTACGCCTGTAGTTCCACACATGTACGCATATAGCTCCCCTGTACAGTCATGCATGCCAACATAAACTCCGCAACCTCCGCAGCATTTCCGACTTGTCCACGGACAATCTGCAACAACAAGATAGTTGAGTCATGCCGTTGTACGTACACCAACAGCCAAAGCCTATTAAACAAGCTGTGTGAGCTCCATCTCCAAGTCAACCAGCACCGGCCACTACTGATCGGTATAACGGAGACCTAGGCTCACGCGTGGATATTGGATGACGAACTGGAAATTACCGAGCTGGACATCACGCGACAGGATAGAACAGACGGCATAGGTGGAGGGTGTGCACTTTACATCAGCAAGAAGCTCTGGTCTGTGAGGATCACGGATCCTGTACTAGAAAGGATACCGGAGAGCGTCTGGGCAGCCATAAAACTGAACGGCAAAAGGCAATGCCAGGTAGGCTTTCTCTATAGGCCACCAAATTGCTCATAGTTGACGAACTCCACCATTACTGACGCACTAAAGCACGTCATGAGATTGAACTATCACCGCGTTCCGATAATGGGGATTTCAAATTACCGGAGATATGCTTTAGTACGTTGACCTGCCAAGCGCGACTTGGGTCCATAACATCAGTCTTCTTTGACACGGTGATAGACCTAGGGTGGCACGAACACGTCCGGCAAGCAACCCGGTGGCGAGGGAACTCGAGAGCCTCGGCGCTAGATTGGGTTCTTACCAACGAACCCCACATAGTCGACCAGCTGCAGTTCTCTACACCACTGGGACTCGGCGACCATGGTGTCATACCATTCGTACACACCACGGGACCGATACGGTCGACAGGGTCCACTCGCTGGAACCTACGTAAGGCCAACATTCCCAGCATGTGAGCATTCCTGGAGTCAGCCCTATGACCCTTTAACCCTCGTTGCATCAATGATCATTGGACCGAAGTGACGGGGATTCTCACCGGGGTTTGTACCACACACAGGTCCGACCAGTTAAACCGAAACAGCGACTGCGTACCCGTACAATTAGGACCTTGGCATGGAAAAGGCGCGCGTCGAACCAATACCAGTGGTCCCAGAGCTTCCATAACTACCGGACATATGTTATAATAATAATAATAATAATAATAATGTATATCTCACGAAGCCCGTGAAGCATACACAAGGCATGATCATATGTTGAACTACGCAATCGATATAACCTACAAAGAAGGCGAGTCACCGGGTCATTGCGGACTTGAGGAGTTTCTGCATGGGTATTTCCATGGTGACCCAGGCAAAACCCGGGATCACGGACATCATGCGAATGGGTCCCTTACGGATGGCAACAAGGCTGCAGCTAACACCCTGGCTGAGTACTACTCCGCGGTGTTCGGCCCAGAACATATCAGTTGGACAGACGGAGGCGGTTGTCCCGCGGTAGACTCCATTCCCAGCAGGTTCCTGGAACTTGTGTCGTTTTTCCCGGCACAGGTCAGACTAAAACTGGCAAGTCTTGTAGCTAAAAGTCACCGAGACTTGACGAGATACCACCTATCCCACTTCAGCAGTGTTCAGAGCTGTTAGCACTAATCCTAAGCAGACTGTTACGCCACTCGATGAGAGTTGGCATGGTCCCGGACGAGTAGTACACATGCGTGGTCTATCCTTTATTCAAGTCGGGGGACCGAAACTTACCAAACAACTACCGTCCGGTAGCCCTGCTCTCGGTGGTCTCAAAGGTAATGCAGGGACTCATTGACGACAAAATCAATGAGTTTTTGGAACACGATCGTTGCTTGTACGATGCTCAGTACGGGTTTCGTGGGAAGCGACCCTGTCAAGCCAACCTCATTGAGACTGGTGTTGTATACATGTGCTGCGGACATGGGGGTGCAACTGGATGTAGTCATAATAGATTTTTCCAAGGCCTTCGATAGAGTTCGTCACTCTTTGCTAGTAGAGAGGCTGGTCATCCTGGGATTCCCCGGAACCCTGATACCTTGGGTCTCAGACTATCTGTGCGATCGAACCCTTCAAGTTCGAGTGAACGGCGTTCTCCCATATAGGTTTGGAGCACCCAGACTGTTCACAATATTTGTGAATGCTTTCCCTGTAGGCATACGATCAAATCTACTGATGTATAGAGATGACGGGAGATTCGAAGCCCAGTAGATAAGTGCACCCTGCAAGAGGACCTAGACATGCTTTTCACTCCGTCGGTTGCGAATGAGTTGCCGTTCAACTCTGACAAATGCAGGGTCATGCAAATTGCATGGCATTGTACAAACGACTACTCGTTGGGAGGTAGAACATTGCAAAGGGTCAGGCACGAAAGGTACCTGGGCGCATTCATTATCTGTCCCAGCAAACTGACTGCAACACACTGGCCCGAAAGACAATGTTCAAACTGAACCAACTCAGCCGACTTCTGGGGAAATTCACACCAGAGTCTTTCCCCAACATTTTTTCTACGCTCATTAGGCCATATCTAGTGATCAACATACAGCCGTGCCCACCTCTGCTTAGGAGGGATGTCAACGTCATTCAGCGGGCATAGTGGAAAGCCATCAAACGTGTACAGGGTCTGTCACGCACATCCTACCCGGACAGACTCCGTTCGCTCAACTTGTACAGCATAGAGTATAGGAGGGTAAGTGGCGACCTGGTCCTCCTAAGGGATATACTCAGCGTTCAGGGGTACCCTACGACAGTAGTCCAGGCTAAAAGTAAACATTCGTTCAAAAAGCTACTTAGCCAACACAGCCGAACAGTACCCTGGCCCTCCGTTCGACATACCGTTACCAGCAATTAGAGCGACCCCAACCTGGGGCATCTTGGCATAGGCCTTTGACCGCTGTGGTTGTCGTACATTGTGTGTTTGCAGATGAGGTGATGCGGATGTGCGACCCCTTAAATTCTACCTTTGTCCTCACTGATGCCAGAGCTGCATTCTGCGAACAAGGCCGGAGACCGGTCGGCTAGTCACGCGGTATCTATCACGAAGATATACTCACCCAGGTGATAGAACACCCATCCATCACTAGGCACAACCCTCCTCCAAGCAAGGCAGCGGGATTTTTATCCCTCATGGCCCAAAAGAAACCTAAAAAGATAAAAAGCGAAAACCCTCCGGCTATACAATAATGCGAGGAACACTCGAAAGTGAGTAACTGGTGATAGGATACACTCGGATCGGCTCCCAAGGCCCCATGATGTTGAGCGCGGAAATAATAAGAAAGCAAAATAAAAGGGTATTCATCAGGTCCCAGCCGCAGGAGCCGTCAAAATAGCGAGTTATCCCGTCAACCGATTGAGGAAAGAAAAATGAGAAAAAGAAAGAATAAAAAAGAAACAAAATTGAAAGAAACAAAACAAAAAGCAAAGCAAAAAGATAAATGGTACTTACAGGTCATTCAGCGGGAGAATCACTCGCAGTCAAAGATCGGAGTCGGGTAAGGGTACAGGGATACTGACTCACTAACTGCAAACAGCACTCATACACCCGGACAAACCCTCGCCCGGTGCATTCAACTACACACCAAAAGCCTGGTCGGAGCGGCCGAGTCATGCAGCCCTGGGGTAACTTGTCTGTTCAGTGCCCAGTAAGTTTCGGATGCAGTTCTGTCAAGGTGAGGGTGGAGTCCCACCCCATTTCCCCTATCTACCTAACGCATTGCTTTTCTTTTCTCTTTTACCCCGACTTCTGGAAGAATGATTGCATCGTTTGGTTGTGCGTCCTGACTGTCTAGAACGGTAACAGAACGGCAACAGTTGTCCCCAATCACAACGGGGGCAATAGAGAACATCCGGAAAATTACCGGCTAGTAAGCCTACTGTCGGTTGTGGTAAAGGTGAAGCTAACCGGTGTTGACGGCCTGCCGGTAAGTCTTCTTACGAGTCTCAAAGTGCGCGCGACCTCCTAGTGTCTCGTTGCCCGAGGTAGGCTAAAACACTCATGAGAGTCGTAGACGTATGTTGGCGAATCGTGGTACTAGATAGTACCGAAACGTGCCGAGTTGACGCTAAACAAAGCAAGCAATAAATGCAGTAGCAAAGCGAAAGCGTGTCACACGTGTTGCCTGGGTTTGAACAGGACCCAGATTATATATACACCTGAGCGGAAAACCATGCTCAGTAAAACAAGCAGAAGTAAAACAAAGAAGCATCACAGTTAGAATTACAGTTGATTGTGAAGAAAATATGAACGGAAAACGTCCTCGTGGATTGCTCCTTTTCTTCGTACAATCATGGTCACTATAAAGGTATTCGAAAGGGTTAGTAGAAGCAAGCTGGCCGAACACCTTACTAGAAATAGATTAATAATCGATAAGCAGCATGGCTTTGGTCAAAGTAAATCCTGCCTGACCAATCGGCTGTCGTACCTGGATGAGGTCACGAGCCGATTTGATAAGAGAGAGCGAGTTGAGGTATGCTACCTGGATTCCAAGAAAGCTTTCGATTCGGTAAACCATCGCTTCCCGCCGCACAAGTTGGAATGTCTCAGGGTTGCTCCTTAGGTAGTAGATTGGTTGAGAGCCTACCTGCACAACAGGACCTTTCGCATGAGACTAGACGACGGTATATCAGGGTCTGCCGAAGCTTGCAGTTCGGTGCTTGATCTCATGCTGTTCCTCGTATACATCAACGATATGGTCCGTGATCTGAACTCGCCGCTCTACTTGTTTGCCGACGACGGTAAAATATTATTGCAAGAGGATCTGAATAAGATCCAGGAGTGAACAGTTCAATGGGAACTCCCGCTGAACCTAAGCAGGTGCCAATAGTTGATGTCAGTCGATACAAATAACGTTCGGCGAAGTGCAACCACGGAAGGTCATCTATCTCTAATGAGGAGCGAGGACATAAGGGGCTTGTGTATTGTCATAGACCAGACCTTCAAGCCGAGGCCTCAGTGTCTGGCAGCTGCGGCCGAAAGTAATAGAGCATTCCACCACTTCTTGAGGGCTGTAGCCTCACGATAGGAGAAGGTGATGGTTCCACTGTGCAAGGCCCTTGTGAGGTCATGTCTAGAGTACTGCGTTCAGGCGTGGGCACCTTATTTGGTGAAAGACGTCAGGGTCCTGGAGGTACAAAGAAGGTTCACGAGGGTCATAGAAGGCATGAGTGGTGTTGCATACACCGAGAGGCTCAGGTGGTTACACCTGTTCTCCCTCAAGAGAAGGAGAATGTGAGGGGACCTCATAGATACCCTCAAGCATCTGATCGGCGCCTCGGTAAGGAAAATACCGCCGCTGTACCTATGCCACTACACCATTTCTAGGGGTAACGGGTGCACATTGGAAAAGCCCAGGGCAACAAGGAGTATTAGAGCCCAGTTATTTTCGCATCAGGTGAATAATGCGTGGAACCGGTTACCACAACAAATGGTTGCTGATTGCAGCCTTGGGGGCTTTTAAGCACTAGCTGGAAGAGGCATGGTCGGGTATATTTCCCGACGATTAATAGGACTAACAACCAGGGACCATGTAATTAAATTTCCCGTAGGATACCCAAGATTGCTTATTCTTACATCTTCTGCACAGGATTTTCTAGCACCTTGCCGGGTATATACGAATTCCCCCATAATTAGGAAACCGGCTAGGGTATAGCACTGCCTCATCCCACTAACCGCTCAGCTGGGTGCATACTTAGACTGTAGGCATTCCTTTATTCTTTTCTGCAGGCATTCCCCTTAGGCATTAAACTGTACCGGCTGTCGAAATAGTTCAGTGACCACGCGATTGCTGATGCTTGTCAGAACCTGTCACTAATGTTTGGTCACGTTCGTTCTGGGCGTCCGTCCCAAGAAAAAAATAACCAAGGATTGGGTTTGTAGAAAATGATATATTCTGAAAGATTGGAAGTAAGTTTGGCTAGACCTATGCTGTTATTTCGGCAACAGCACCGGGAACCTTAAAGTACATCTGATCGATGCAAGGAAAGCGTGGGATACAGAGCTCATCGTGGGAAATTGTGCCGGTGCGGTCTTTTTGAGCTCATTAAAAACACTATAATAGTAAAGTCAAACTTAATCCTGGAAAAGTCCAGGTTGCTATATCTAATTTATAAACTTTCCCTGGAAGATAGCCATCGCCAAATAATGGCGATAAATGCTAAATCTCGACGGTACATTTGATTGTGTCCGGCGGAGAAGGGTCCTTAAGTAAGAAGAAAAACCATAACGGTAGCTTAGCTACCTGATCGACAGTCTAAGTCGCTATTTGATATCGAACCTTGATGATTCTTATAAGTACGTCATGGTTATACAACCATTTCCTGATAGTCCTCAGTTAAACAGGACTGGTTGGAAGCTTAACCTCTCCTGATGCTAGTCACCAGGTCTGTGCTTTGATGATCACCTCCAGCATGAATGGACCTACCAGGAAACTTGGAGAAAAACAAGAAGGGAAAACTGCCGTTGCAACACTGTCGGTTGAAGAGCTGCTGCAGTAGCACCTGAACCGGAAATTTGCCC